ACAGATTGCTATTTGTGCCACCGTAGCTGGATTTAGAGTTTCTTCTCAGGTTCTTCCTGCAAAGTGCCCAGCACAAGTTCAAGCTCATCTCATATTAGGTCATGAATCCCATCCTTCACACTGACCACCAACATGCTCCTTGTTTGAGATAACTTGTCCTTCTTCATTTGTTCTTTCTGGTTCCTATATTTTGTTCAGCACCACAGCTCTGGCCCCCAAATATACGGTGCAATCTAGCTCTTGGAAGCAGAGTGTCTAAATCCGAAATCATCCTGGAGTTGTTGAAAGTCAGGGTAATTACAATAATTTTTTTCAAGTGATTCCAAGAGGGCAAAGATTCAAAGGGATTCCCTAGTGTGTCTAATAATTTTTACAGCAAAATTATTTTGCATTTCACCTATATCTTTCCCAGGACAATCTGAAGCCTTGCCATCTCTGCAAAAATTGTATTCTTGAGCCATTCCTTTATGTTAAGTTTTACCTTCAGAGCAGAAAACACATTCGGAAAATATGGCCTCTGCAATGATTTGGATGAGGAAGTCTTCCATCCAATATGCATAAATTCACTGAGCCAAAGAAATGTAATGCCATTGATTGGAGATTTCATCTAAGAATTCAAGACATGTTTTTTTTTTGTTTGTTTGTTTTTGTTTTTTACTATGACTAGAGTTCCCCATACTCAAATTCCCATCACAGAAGGTTTCATTTGGTCTTAAAGAGACGCAAGCACAGGGGCTTCTGAACCTCCCATCTAATCACTTATCTGATGCGAATTGCAAATATATAAATTACCTCAATTCACTTTCTAGATCACCATAGGATGTACCTCTGGATGATGCTAGTGATGTGAATTGCAAATATATAAATTACCTCAATTCACTTTCTAGATCACCGTAGGATGTACCTCTGGATGATGCTAGCATGCAGATGTGCTAGTTCCTCATTCTGAACCTCAAGAACCAGCAAGACAATGTTGGTGACCCAATCAAAATGGGAAATCATGGCAAGCTAAAAAGCACAGTCTCACTGGCATCAGGAATGCTATCCACCTCTGGCTGATGGTACCAAATGAAGTAACAGAAGTCAGAGCCTAAATTTACAGGGTTTCTAATTTTTCAAGAGAAGCCAGAAATCCACAGTTTTATATAAAATCTTCCAAATCTAAAGATAAGCTTAAAATATGTTAAACCCTGTGTTAAGTCAGTACTAAAGGTGGAAACCAGCCCAAAGACTCCTAATTTTATAATCTCATTCCCAATGCCTTTATAGTAAGGCTGGGCCCCTAGAAATGACTAGTCACCTCTGGTATTTTTAATCCACATTCATTTCTTTTTTTTTTCTTTCTTTCTTTTTTTTTTAAGAGAGAGAACTCAAGTGTGAGGCGGTGGGGAGGGATAGAGGAAGAGGGAGAGAGAATCCCAAGCAGGCCCCATACCCAGTATGGAGTCTGATGAGGGGCTCAATCCCATGACCCTAAGACCATAATCCAAGCTGAAATCAAGTGTTGGAAGCTCAACCGACAGAGCCACCCAGGCACCCCTTAATCCACATTCATTTCTATTTGAATGTGGTCACTAGAGAGAGGGAAAAGCAGGTGGAAACTAGAGCCACACTGAGTGATATGCATTTATATACAGAATTACTCCTCAAGAAGTGCCAAAGGAAGTTCTTCAGGACAGAGTGGAATGATGCTAGGATGGAAACTTAGATCTACAGAGAAGAATGAAGAATGAAAAGCACTGGAATGGTGAATGAGGGCAAAAACAAAAGACTATCTTTTTTTCCTCTGAGTATCTTTAAAAGGCAGGTTACTATTTTTAAAAAATTATATATATAATGCATATATATGTTATATATATACATATATACAGATACACATATACATACATACATATACATACAAATTTCAGAATATTTCAGAGTTTATAATACAGTTAATCCTTGAACAATGCCAATATTAGGGGTACCAAGCTCCGATGCAGTCAAAAATCCAAGTGCAACTTTTGACTCCCTGAAAACTTAATAGCCTAATGTTGACAAGAAGCCTTACTGATAACATCAACAGTCAATTAACACATATTTTGTCTGTTATATATATTATATACTGTATTCTTATAATAAAGTAAGCTGGAGAAAAGAAAACGTTATTAAGAAAATCCTAAAGAAGAGAAAATACATTTACGGTAGTGTATTTATTGAAAAACAATCCACATATAAGTGGATCCAGGCAGTTCAAACCCATGTTGTTCAAGGGTCAACAGTATACATATGTATATAAACATGAAGTAACAATACCCCAAAGGATGAAGGAGAAGAATAACTAAAATCATTGTCTCAAGGGTCTTATATTTTACATGAAATGATGCAATAATAATACTAAATAGACAGTGATAAGCTAGTAACTGAGATATATATTATACTTCCTAGAGCAACAATTATTTTTTTAAAGTTTCCTAAGAGAATAGATAAGATCCAGTAGAGGAATTGAAGTGAAATAATAAAAATAAATGTAATAACCTAAAGAAGGCAAAAAAGAAAGAACAGAGGAACAAAAGACAGATGTACAAGTAGAAAGAAAACAAACAGCAAAATCCCAGACTAAACCCAACTATACCAAAACATCCATTAAATGTAAATAGACAAGTAATTCCTATTAAAATGTAGAGATTGTCAGCCTGGGTTTAAAAAAAAAAAAACAAGACACATAAATGTCATCTTATCTAAGAGGGAGACTTCAAATGCAAAGATACAGATCAATCAGTTAAATTAAAGGGTGGGGAAAGACAGCCCATGCAAACTCAATAAAACAAAGTGAGTATGGCTATATCTATATCAGATAAAATAAACTTCATAGACATTCTTTAGTAATAAATGAGCCCATTCATAAAGAAGATATAACAATTCTTAATAAGTATGCACCTAAAAACAGAGTTTCAAAAACATGAGGCAAAATCGACAGAATTTTTTTAAAAAAGGTAGAAACTGATCCACATTCCTAGTTAGAGACTGTAACTGTAAGGGTATAGATCATCTGAATATAATAGGCATAGCATCTCTGCCACATTCACAAAAGACATTCCACACATTTAACAAATGAGGCATGGGTTCTGAGCCATCAGAACAGGCACTAGCAATAGGGCTGGAGGAAGGACTTAGAATCCCCTGCCTTACTAGGCATTATTGCTTTAGTCACCAGACCAAAGGAGAGGGACCAGGTAGGCCAGGTGTAGGAGGCTTGGGATAATGCATATTCACAAACAAGCATGGAAAGTATCACAATATTTTAACAATCAATATGGCTCCAAAGGTAAGCAGCAGATTAGTGGACTTCTTTTGTAAGAGGAATGCCACCACTAGCTTCTTCCAGAAGGTATTTTATTAGACTGAAGTTTTCTTGAAAACAAGATCTGGGATTGATTAATCCATGTAGCTCTCACCAATCTTCATACAGAGATCTTCTCATAATAGAAACATCATAAAAATTAACTCAATGAAAGAAATAATAAATAATTCCCTTCTTTCTTCTTGGAGCATGAGTTACCCTTTGGCAACACTCCTCCCTACTTTCAAAAAGATGACACTGTTGCACTTGAATTCTTTCATCACAATGGTTAAAGCCAAAGCTTAGCAAAACATATTGGGATGCTGGCACCTTCTGTTGAACAAGTTGTATATAAAATGCTGCTGAAAAGCAGCATATGTTTTTGATAACTGTAAAACATATTATATTTGTGAACCAGGAAGGAATTTAAATGCTGAATATTAATGCACTTGAAGTCTTATTTAAATTAAAAGTTGATCTTTGATGTGATTTGATTCTTTCCAAAACATGACAGTCCCTTTCAGGGTCTCTTCTGTGTAGGCTGTATAGATGGGAAGTTAGCTTTGTGCTTAATGCCACTGTAGCCCTGTCTCAGGTCTAGACATAAGGATTAAGGTACCACACTTTGTTTTAAAAATGAGGTGGGTTAAAAGAGAAGGGAGGCCAAGCAGTAAGGTGATGTTGTGCATGTGTTCCTGAACAGCCACTGACTCACTGTGAGCCCCAGAGACTCAGCCCATAGCTCAGTACACACGTTCACTTAGCATATGGGACTTGTCTTCAAGAGAAGCAAGGAGGTGCCACACCTCCAAGGTGGCCACAGGACTGGGAAGGGAGAGGGTCTGTATCAGCTTGTCTCCTTCCCATCTCCTATTTTCCATGGGTCAATGCTCAGCCTCTGTGGAGCTGGCCACTCTGGGATCCAGACCTCATAACCTGCAGGTGGTGTTCATCCAAAGCTGAGACCGGAAGGGTGATTCATATGGGTGAAAGCCTGGGAGAGCAAGAGGGAAGTGGTCAAAGCAATCTGGGAACATGCCCAGGCTTTAGCTCCATTACACCTAGAGCTACTCCCCATGCTGGGCTAGTCCCATGGACCAGTGGAGACACAGCCCTACCAATAGTGCAGTGATGCAGCTCTGCAACCCTGCCAAGATATTGTAGCTTCTCAGTCTGCAGGTTAGGAAGGCAAGGGTCATAGGCCAGGACAGAATGTGAACGGGGGAAGAAGGAGCAGTTACTTAAGAAAAATGACTGGATACTAGAAAGAGCTGAAACCTTATCATCAACTCAACCTTGGTTCAGATCCCATCTCCATGCTTACTGCTTGTGCAACTTTGTGCAAGTCACTTAACTCTCTGAGCTAACTTTTCCCACCTCAAATAAGGATAAAAACAATAGTCTAAAGAGATGTTACGCCAGTAACATCTGGCACAGCACAGGGCTCTAGTCACTCATCAAACGTGAGTTCCTGCATGCATCAGAGATCGCATATCAATATCCAGTAGGGCCTCACATTGCTTAATAAATAATATTTGTTAGCAGGTCATTGCCTGATAAGCTAAGAGCAGGAAAGCCAAGTCACCATAGTCAAAAGAACACAGCACTGCCTATAAATAGCACGGAGACGCCGGTATGAGCATGCACAGATATTCACAAATGCTCTAGGTACACGGTAGTCTCTGTGACTTTCCCCTACAACACATCAGCCACTAAAGAGCTCAGAAAGTCAGCTCCAGGACAAGGTGCCTTCCTTTTTTTCTGTTTTGCAAGGACAAATCTGACAGAAATGTAGAACCCGCGTAGGCATTTACGCAGCCCATGCAGCAGGGAAAGCCTTCAGCCCTGCCATGAAGGATAGACTTGACGACAACATCCACTATACAGATGAGCCCTCAAATTAGTGCAGGAGCCTCGAGGCCTCAGGCTCGGAGGAGAGAGGCGTCCACCGCTCTGCCTCTGCCACCGGCCACGCCGCCAGGGGCATCCATCACAGTAAGTACCAGAGGAACAACACCTCTGATACCTCTTCATTGGGCCGCCGGCAAATGAGGTACTAGATTAGGCCTGACACCGGGCAGAGCGCGAGCCGAGGTTTGCCGGGTGTAATTAATTGGAACTTCGCCAGCTTGACAAATTGGGATGATGAATCTATCGTGTATGAATAGGGAAAAAAAATGCATAATCAGTCAAAGATTTAGTTAAGACAGCTTTACTCTGACTCCCTGCCATAGCTAAATCCATTAAGGTAAGGAGACATCACTTTAAAGAAGGCAATGTCCTTCATCTGTTCAATTTATAACTTTTTGTTCTTGAATTTATGAGAGAAGTCAACTCAGATTTGCTTGACTTTAAGAGAAGACGAGGTTTCTCTTGTGAGTTTAAAAAATAATTTGTCTCCTGTGTCTTTTAGTGCAGTGGAAATACAGATAAATAGACTTGGGGGTGGGGGGTTGTTCTCAATTCTATAAGGCATTTTATTAGTACTTGAGCCAAACAGGCCACTTTGCCTCTGTGGAGTTGGCTTTATGCTAAATATAAAACGAGAAACTTTTTTCATCGGGTTCCTCCCACACACCCCTGTTTTCTGGATCCCTGTTTACAGACTGTGATAGATTCAGCAGTAGGTGGGTGAGGACTGCTTTCTGTTCTAATTGGCAGGAGAAATCATTTTTTAGTTTCTTCTACATTCAGGTTGGGTCTACTTAAGAAAAGTACCAATTAGGTGATTATCTAGCTAATTTGACAAATGTTTTAAAAAAATCAAACTAGAAATCAGCCTTCCCATTAAAAAAAAACAAACAAGCAAAAACAAAAACAAAACAAAAAACAACTTTAAATTGTTGACCAGATTAACCAGATGGTTATGCCCTAGGCAAAAAAGACACTGCTTCCAAGAAGAAAGAGAGGAAGGTTCACACATCTCTAATTCCTCAATGCATGACTTTGCAGGTATTAATTAGCTCATGGCCCTCAAATCTATGGGATTTTTAGAAATGTTATCTGTGTGTCAATACTACTGCTTACCCTTTCTGCTAAATAACGAAGTGATTCTGCTGGTTTGTTTGTTCTTATCCTTTGGAAAATGGAAGCTCTCTCTGGCTTTCATGACCAAAGTCTTGCAAGCATTAATGACAGTGGAGAGAGACAAACAGAAAAGAAAGACAGAGTCTAGATTTCAACCTGGACATGATTCATTTTCACCCAATGCAGAGCAAAATGCTAAGACAGCAGTATAATTAAAATGCCAAGACCTCACAGGCAACCCCATAGACAGTTGAACACAAACATTGTATGTGCCCACTGAGACAGGCCCTCTGTGTGCCTCCGGATGCTAGTCACCTGTATACACGGGCAGAGGCGGGGTGGGGCAGAGAGGAGCTTCTGGAAGCAAGTGGACTGCAGCCCATTCATGCATGAAAAAGCATCTCGTTGTTGTTTAGTAAGGCATGAAGGAAAGGGATTGAGGGAAAGAACCCGCCAGGCTACACTGTGATCACACCTGGGCTGCAAGGGCAAGTTACCAGAGAGCTGCTGTCGCTTTTTCCACCCCTCTGCACCAGTGCAAATGTCCTGTAAAAAAGATATGTGTGAAACTCACTAAATACCACTTTGGAAATGGAGTCTCCTGTAATTTGGATCACACCTTAGCTTCAAGTGGCAAAATGCCTTTCCTCGCTACCCATAAAAACTTTTAATGTTCAATGAAACTTAAGAATTAGAAAGTGAGAAAAAAGTTGAAAGGTACTCGGTTTTCCTTTTGTGGGTCTTTTTTACAGTCTTTTTCAAAGGATGTAGAGACAGACGCAGGCAGACACACTGATTTACAGGAGTGCAGGAGAGGAGAGGCCCCTCAGGAGACCACTCAAGTTACAATTAACAAAGGGTATGATGTTTTGCTGGAGGCACTAGAATTTACACTGATGAAGATAATCGCTAAGCGGATTGGGGCTGCAGTTAGCCAAAACTTTGCTTCTCCTCCTTTTCGAAATCTGTCTTTCTTTTAAGTTAACAGTATTGCTGAAGGGTGGCAATCTTCTCTATTCAATTTTTGTCTAAGCCAGTCCTACCTTCCTAGCTATCAGAGGACAGGAAAAGTTACTCTAGAATAGTACTTTTTATTTTTAATTAATGGGTCATCACCCATTATCTCATTTAATCCTTCCCATCTCCATGAAGCAAAAAGTGATTTTTTTAAATGGGGTTCAGGGACATTAAGAGGTACACCCAAACCATAGCCGTAGGTGTGTAGCTGGGATCCAAAACCAAGGCTCTCAGATTCCAAATGCCAAGGCCTTTCTAATATCCTGTAACACACTGTCTCCCCTTAATAATTAATCTCACTATCTTTATAGTTTTTAAATTTAGTAATTAAAAAAAGCCGTCTGGGGTATTATACTGTATGTTGACAAATTTAATTTAAATAAAATATTTTTTAAAAATAACTGTCTGTGTGCCAGGCACTGTGCCCAGCATTTACCTTAGTTAATCCTCACAACATCTCAAGCAAGTATGATGCCCCGCTCTGCACCCCCCTACCCTCTACCGATGAAGACATTAGTGCTGATAGAGGGAAAACACCATGACAGAGTTCAGACTGTGCCTACCAGGGCCCAAGTCTAGCTTCTTAACCACCAGGTTCAGGTCACAGGTCACAATCCATTTCCACATCATGTCTGCTCTCATCTTGATGGGCCATGTGGAAGCAGTTAAGTAAGATGTACAGCAGGAAGCAAAGATAGAGAAATTGCTCTTTCTTGCCTCAGTCTCATAGGGCTGTAATTGGATTCTAAGGGCTTTGTATATCTTACAATCAATTTTCTTTCTATATGAACCTCTTTGAGCAAGTTTCTAGGGCTTGCAAGCATTTTGCCCTGATTGAGATCTTCAACAAACAGTAATAATGATGATGATTCCAACAAGGACAGTGACAATGGCCTTACCTTTCATGACATCATACACTCTTGAAGAAGATTAGCCCTGCCCCCAAGTACAGCTACTTATAATTCACTGACCTCATAATGAGAGCCCTACAGCAATAGGATAAATGGACATTGTAGGGCCTTGTCCCTCTAGACCCTTGGACCAGCAATGTCAGCACCACCTGGAAACTTGTAAGAAGAGAAGAAATTCAGGCCACACCTCAGATTTAGTCAAAATCTGGTGAATGGCCAGGTGAATTATATGGACATGAAATTAAGGAAGCACTACCCTGGTAATAATGCCTGCCTAGTGAAAAAAGTGCCCATTGGCCACCCTCCTGGTCACTAGAACGAGTTCAGGTGATGTGGTTGGCTGAGCACATCTTCCATTTCTCCCTCCTGGCTCCCCACACACACCCCCAAATTTGAACACTAATTTAAGAGGACAATTTCCCTGCTGAAAGTGGACCATTCTTCGGTCAAGGAGAAAAGACTCAGCCTTTCAAGCATTGGCCATTTGATCCTGGACCAGTTTGCATGGCCCCATTAGTTTACAGGATGTAATATCCAATTCTCAGATTATAAACCCTCAAAGGGTTCTGTCCAGCTCCTGACACACCAAATAAACAAGTCTATTAAATTTCTGCTACAGATTTTTTCAGCTTCCACCATCCGAAAAGCTAGTGGAGGCAATTTGCAAAGCACAAGGAAAACTAAATTGCAACCATGCAGCTTTCATCTTCCAGCAACCTGATGTTCAGTAAAAGGGGAATAACCACCCATCCCAGGGTTTTAATGAGACAATAAAGAGTTGAAATTATGGATTTCATAGAGTCAGAATGAGAATATGTATGCTATATACATATTACTCATTTGTTCATTTGTTCATTCCCTCTTTCATTTACTTTTTCCAATTACCCTCTTCTGACAGGACAAAAAGAGACAGGAGGTTTCATGCTACAAGTCTGGATAAGGAGACGAGACAGGAATTGCCAAAGGCACAACATAATGGATCCACGCTGACTTTCAGGAACAAATGACAAGGTTTCTTTTCAAGCTCTTTAATTGATTTGAAGGTGGATGAGAAAGTGTGATGTGTGAATTAAAGCAAAGAGGGCAGATATTACAGTCAGTCCAAGTGTCTCACACACTGGCTGTGCCTTAGTATCGTGTGAGTTTTTTTTGAGCTACACATCTATCAAACCTGAATTCCACTACCTGTAAGATGGGGGCAGCACCCTCCTTGTGGGATGGTCCTAAGGATCAAGGAAAATGTCATTTCAAATCATTATTTCTCCATAAAGAAGACATCTCAGGATGCCTGGGTGGCTCAGTGGTTGAGTGTCTGCCTTTGGCTCAGGGCATGACCCCAGAGTCCCATATTGGTCTCCCCACAGGGAGCCTGCTTCTCCCTCTGCTTCTCTGCCTCTCTGTCTTGTGTCTCTCATGAATAAATAAATAAAATCTTTAATAAAAAAAAAAGGACTTCTCATGACTGTTAGTACCTACCAAGGGCCTCCTGAAGATGGAGCACCCCAGGCCTGGCACCCCCAGGTTGTGATGATATTTAGGCCTCAGGGCCATAAAGATTAAATGAGTTAAAGATTGTGACTGCCTTAGCATGGTGCCTGAATACTATCTGCATACTCGGTGTTCAATACTGTTATCTTTGTGGTGACACAGACAAGTTCACATCCCAGTGACACTCTAGATCTGTGACCTTGGGCAAGTTTATGGATGGATAAACTGCCTTACCTCAGAAAAGATTTGATGCACCTGGCCAAAGTACTCAGTCTCCTTAACCACTCCATGAAATTGTTTCAAATACTATATGAGAAGACCCATTGACAAAAAAGTTGCCAAGATTTTTCCTTTTATTCCCCCAATCCATTCTCTGTTCTGCTCTGTGCCCCTAGAGATTAACCCTGATGAACCACACTCCCCGCTCTTTTGGTGGCTGACTTCCCTTTGAGTTTGGCCAATGCCAGAAAAGGAGGATGGTGAGAGAGAGAGAGACAGAGAGACAGAGATATAGGAGTACTTCTTCTTCATGCCCTCCCTGAATCAGTGCAGCATCTCTGGACACTATTAGCATCCTCCATGGCTGTGGCTTTGTCAAGTGATCTTTCTTCCAGGGCACCATTTTTGACCAGGTTATATAACATTATTTCCTTCATTTTCCACTTTGCCCTCTAGTGGCAGCAGCTCCCCGCTGTTGCCAAACTCGGTGTATCAACATTTCTGGTCTGGTCCCCTTAATGCTGTCCATTCCTTTGAAGGTAGCCCTCTCTTGAAAGTTTCTTCATGGAAACACCTCACTGAATTTTTTCCTTCCCATGACCTTCTATCTATCAAAATACTGAACCCCAAAATGATGCTCAGTTTTAAGACTACCTGTCCAGACAGCTGCCCATTCTGCTCTGCAGCCCCTTTGGAAGAAACCAAGATAGAAACCTAATCTATTTTCACTCAGCATAATACCCTCCAGTTCCATCCACGTTGAAGTAAATGGTGGGTATTTGTCATTTCTAATGGCTGAGTAGTATGTTCTCATTCATTTGGGGAATATAAATAATAGTGAAAGGGAATAGAAGGGAAGGGAGAATAAATGGGTAGGAAATATCAGAAAGAGAGACAGAACATAAAGACTCCTAACTCTGAGAAATGAACTAGGGGTGGTAGAAGGGGAGGAGGGCAGGGGGTGGGGGTGAATGGGTGGCGGGCACTGAGGGGGGCACTTGACGGGATGAGCACTGGGTGTTATTCTGTATGTTGGCAAATTGAACACCAATAAAAAATTTATAAAGAAAAGAAAGAAAGAAGAAGAAAAAAGAAAGAAAGAAAGAAAGAAAGAAAGAAAGAAAGAAAGAAAGAAAGAAAGAAAGAAAGAAAAGAAACCTAATCTAAAGAGAATGAAATCATAAGCTAGATGGAGCCCAACAACAAATGTTCTCTGGAGAATCTGTGCTAAGAGAAACAGAGATTATATTTGTAAATGGTGGTGGAGGTCCCAGCCTGACAGAACAGAGAATGAGAATTTGGGGCAGGAAAAAGAATTTACCGTTGCTCAATATTAGTAGACCAATGGCCATGGCACTACTTGGAATGGGGAACTCCCCTAGTTGGTTCCCAAGACAGAGATGTGGCTAACACAGAAGGAAGAGGGACTGGAATGGAGGCATGCCACCAGGATGAATGTTATTATCAGTGACATGGTAATAAAATGAAGTAACAGTGCACAGAATTCCATAGAGCTAAAGAGTAGCCTTAGTGTTGGAATAATCTAGCCATCTGACTTTGGGCAAGCCATGGTATCTTTGATTCTTCATTTACAAGATGAAAGGGTTATTCTACAGGTGAATCTCAAGATACTGTGTATCTCCAGAGTTATCTATTTTAGGAGTTAGATTTTTCCCTCATCAGCCCTAGCTACTGTGATCTGCCACATTTCTTCCTTTCATTTGCTTCCTGTTTTTAGGTCTACCCAGAAAACTCTTCTTCTGAAAGGCAGCTTGGACTTTAAAGCTGTTGACCTAATGCTGTGGCTGATGAAAGTATTTCCATGAAGGGATGCAGCCAGAATCAGATTTGCTTTTAAGACTTTGACCTCTCAATGGTCACGCTTGAGCTTTCTATCTCCGTCTTATTTATCTATGTTGAGAATGAGTTTAATGTTTTGAAATGTTGGTGTTGGGGGAATGTTGATAGAATTCTTTTACAGAGAGACAATGGCCCACATGTAAGAAATATTTGCTTTATCACTAGTTCGGTTATTAACTAGATTTGGGAAAATGGAGCCTTTTGGGGTGGGAGGTCCTTTTTTTGTCTCTACTGTTTGTTTTAAAATAGTCTTAAAAGCTCCAGTGAAAATAAAGCACAGAAATGTGAAATATGTCTTTGGATTTTCATTTGCATATATTTAATTCCTGAAGAGTAGAGGGGATACTGGGATTGTTGCATACGCCCACAGTTGAAACAGAAGATTTTAGTTCTCTCTTGGAGTCATGACATTAATATTGTTACCTTTAAAAATAAGTATTTTGACATCAGATATCTGCCACGTATGTTAGAGTTCCAATTTAAATTTGCAACTTAGATGACTATTTGGTTATCATGAGAATATATATTCTTATAAAGAAACCATAAAATATTATTGCTCCTCCAGTTTGCAAAATTAACTGGAGAGGAAAAAAAGTAGTTAGTGCAACCATAAGGCTCTACTGCAAGTGAGAGGTAAAAATATAATTGAGGCTCAATTTTAAAACTGAACAATATCATAAATAAATCAAATTTTAAAGACGATTATTTCCCCCACTCCTACTTAAATCTGAAATGTGGTAGCTTATGTGTAAAGTTTTTTTTTGTTCAAATTCTTTTGTTTTCATTATAAATTCTAAGTGCTGTTAAAAATTATATGGCAATGCAAATTATATATTAAGAAGTATAACAAGGGACTTTGGCTCAGAAATCAGACTTCTGGGAGCATAATTTAAAGAAATAACTGGAGAAACAAAATCTATGGGGATGAACATATTCATTTTCACATTATTATATGGAAAATTGGAGACAATTTATAAGTCTAACAATAAGAGATTTAATAAGTAAAACACGGAACGTAAAACTCAATGGAATGGCCTAGAGCCATTGACATGTAACAACATGGAAAACCATTGGTATACGAATAAAAAGAATTTTAAAAAACCAGAATACAAAATTATATGTTCATTATCACTGTAACCATGTAAAACTGTGATTAGATCTTTTAAGGGAAGATGTAAAAAAGAAAACTATTGTATTTGATTGATGAGATTACAAGTAATATATTTTAAAAGGAAATCCTTATTATTGTTAAAAAATTGCTCTTTAAAACTTGAAATAGAAGATTGAATCTAGAAGACAAGATTCTCTGACAGGGCTCCATGAAGGGAAAGAAGTGAGTATTTATTTCTATATTAGGGATTCCTGGTTGCCAGAAACAAAACTTCACTCAACCCAGCTTAAGCCAAAAAAAAAATTTATTGCAAAGAAATGATATGAATTCAGAAAGAGAATCATAGCTGGACTGCAGAAGAAGGCTGGGACAGAACTAAAAGCAAAGGCACTGGCCCATCACATAGCCTCATAAGCCCCACTCCTTATGAACAAAATTTTGAAATTTTAAATACCAGATTCAATCATTCACTTGCATAACCCTGAGAGTCAGTGCTCCACTGACTCACCTTAATTCAGCCCATGTGTTCTGTATTTAAAATTGTGCCATTTTGTTCATCATGGACTTCTTGCATTATTTTTTATTTATAAAAAATACTATAATAAAGTATTCTTTGTCTTAACCAATAGGGGGGGTTGTTTGTTTTAACCACTCCCATTTTGTGCCCTCTGAGAGTGCCTCACACACCTCATGCTAATTCCTGCCCTGCCCACACAGTGTTTGCAATTCCTCCATCCAAGCCCATCCTTGCATCAGGGTGCTGTTTCCCAACAGGCTCTGTTGAGATCATAGCCCATTATGTGATAGTATCAGATGAACCAATTAATTGGTGTTTTCATGCCAGACTGGTTGTGTCCATCAGATAAGCTGAGAGCAAGCAACAAGGCATAAAACTTTTTGTTTAGGGAAAGGATGGAGATAGGAAAAGCCTATCAGGGAAGCTCTAGGCCTTGCAGGGAAAGAATGAGCCAGAGCAAATGTACATTTTTATAGCCTTTCAGGGCATAACTCAAACCCTGTTCTTGCCTTCCTTTCTACCACCTCCCTGTTAGGGTGACAGTGAGCTGTCAGGGATGGCATACCCATGACAGAGATGGATTTCTACTGTAAGAAGCAGTCTACCACGGAGACCCTTGATGGTACATCGCAGCCTTGGCTTCCTTCTGACCTCACCACCCCTGGGCACCCAGCTCTGTGTTCCTGGAGCCCAGAAAAGCCTCATCTCCCAACTACAGCTCTAGCCCACAAGCCCTGCATAAGTCCCAGATGCCCTCACACATACTGATTGTTAAGGCACATCAGGAGGAGAGATGATGGATGATGCTTGCTTGGTTTTATTCAAAGTGTGCTTCCCATTAAAGAGAAATGTCATTTGTGCCTCAAGCCATCTGAAGCCCATTTGTTTTCATATTTATGGGAGTATGTGTGCCATGCTCTCCCCTTTTCTCTCTTTGCTTTCAAGTCTGCTCCTCACACGTCTCCCTCCTGCCCCCACTCACCTCCCTCTCCTCACCCTCTTCTCAATATTTCTTGCTAAAATATGGCAGGGAAGACAAGAGAGCTGTCATCTTTGGAATGCTCTTGTCACAGTGGACGTTTGAAGAATCCCTGCAACATGAGAAACCCAATTCTTTCCTGCATGGCCAACCCTTCCACCCTGACCCCATGAAGAGTCATTCGCCTTTTCTCCGTGCACATTTCTGAGACTTCCCCTTGGGTTATCAGGTTAATCACATCTCCTTCTTCCACAAGGAAGGAATTGAGGCTGCTCCATTTCACTACCACTGATGGGAGATGGGAACAGCAAGTCACTGTTAGGTCAGTCTTTCTAAGCACCTGGGTTTAATTACCACGCACACGGAGAGTTCTGGGAATGTCCAGTCTCAGTGGCATTTTCAGATTGTCTCCTTTACTTGGTGATTTGATTACCATATCTATCAAATACATGTATTAAACCAGTCATCACCACGCTGGATGTTCTTGGCTATTCTTTAAACGACTAAACTATTCACCTTCCAATTTTCATTCTTTATTTCATCTGCAAATCATCTGCCTTTGAAGAAAGCAACCAAGTAGTTCAAACTTTCTGATTCATCTGTTATTAGCAGACCTCCAAGAGAATAATTTTACAAATCTTCCCTCCCCCTGGCTTTATGAATGCACATGCACATGCGCACAGTCATGACTCAACACTGCCAATTTTACTAGGTAAAGCCAGAACCTGACAAAGAACTAGAGGAACCAAGTGAAAGATTTCAACTACCAGAAGGTTTCCAACCTTAGTTTCTCTCCTTTGAATGGAGCAAAATCTGACACATTCAAGTGTTAAAAGAAAACAAGTTAACCACTGTATCTAGCAACTTTTTCCAGGTTCAAGCCAACTAATTCATGCTTACATTTACAGTAATTTCTTTACTGATATAAAACCTATAAATATGTTTATCTTTGAACAAACTCTAGAGGTGTGACATTTTGGCTCAGCAATGCATCAGGCCCATTCTTAAGGAATAATACCTGGAGTGGAAACAAATGCCCCTCCTCTTCTGACTCCTCTCGGTGTCATTCCCATCTACCTTTATGCAACTTCCAAAGCCAGAGACAGATAATCTCGGCACTTACTCCACCTTGCACTATACCAGAGACACGATTTCTCTAGAGCACAATGTGTGTTTTATGCAATGCATCAACCTGGCTTCTACCACCTCCAAATATCTCAAATCGAGGTCAGAACCAACCATGAACATTTTACCTTCATGTTGTGGTCGTGCCTTCAGACCGAACTCCATGAAACCAGAAATAAGAAATGCATAACTCAATAGTGGAATCACTTGAGAGTGGGGTCAGACAGACCCAAGCTTGAAAGCTGGCCCATGCCACTTAATAGCCGTGATCTTGGGCAATTCACCCACACGTTCTTTTTTCTTTAAGATTTTATTTATTTAAAAAAAAGATTTTATTTATTTTATTTGACAGAGAGATTGAGCAACACAAGCAGGGGAAGTGGCAAGCAGAGGGAGAAGGAGAAGCAGACTTCCGCTGAGCAGGGAGCCCAGTGCAGGGCTTGATCCCAGGACCCTGAGCCGAAGGCAGATGCTTCACTGGCTGAGCCACTCAAGTGCCCCTCACCCACACTTTCTAAGCCTGTTTTCATGTCCTTAAACTTGGGTTGACACTATACAATTTAGTGGCCTCTAGTGAATATAAATCTCAAAGCACTGCTCCAGGAACATTTTAAGGGATCAGTAAATGTTAATTTGCACCATGGCTACACTTCTCCCTTCCTTTTTGAATCCTCCATTATGAGCAAGGATGACCAAGTATGTGCCATACTGCCATGGTCTTGCTCTTGCTGTAGAAGAAACTGCTTAACATTACTAGGGCCAAAGGCAAACGTGAGTGTTTGCTGCTACACTGGGGTCCTAAGAGCTAAACATGTTCTTTGAATTTGGAGGAGGGGATGCTGTCTAACTTCCTTCTTTTGGGTGGAAGAGGACCCAAAAGCGTCATGTAGGACTGGCACACACAAAAAAAAAAACAGAGATTTCAGTGGTATCCCATCCCTGGGGAAGACCAGCCAACTTAAGGTAACCTGCTGTGTAGTCCTTTCTACATGATTTAACATCTGACAGTTTGCAGTGTCTAGCCAGCCATCGCACTGTGTTTTATGACTGGCCATTGAAAATAATTAGTTGGTGACCCAGAAAACTGATATATAAAATCCTTTTAATCACCAATATGGCTTTCAATTATACAGCATAAACTTATTAACCTTTTTACTGCTGAGACTTGATTTATGGAATTTATCTACATGACCATTATGAGCAGAGATAAAAAGTATATTATCTGAGGTGTTGGCATTAACAATAAAGAACTGCTTTTTCCTATCGTGGAGTCTCAAGTGGCAATGGCAGCCTCCCACTAAGTCTCTAGGGGTTCATCTGTTTCCTGCAACCATTCAGTAATGGTTGACTGAGGACCTACTCTATGTCCACTTGGCTTTGTAACTTGACAGGGTCAACTCCAAACACCTAGTATGGCCCCGACCCTAAATGGGGTTCATTTGACCCCAACTCAGTTTTTTTCCAGCTTCCTCTCTTAAAGATTCACCATCCTTCAATGAGCTGGGCTTTCCACTGTTCT